AATTTAAGAGGTTGCTTTCACGTTTGGATCTTTTCAAAGGTTCGAACATTTCCAACAGGATGGGGGTGACACGGGGTGAAACCACTATATTACATCAAAGTTAATGCATGGAAGGGCAAAATCGATCCAAACATCACGCCTTGTCTGTTTGCAGTAATAATAACGCAATACGGTTGGAAATTGTGTGTTTTGTTAGCTCCAGACAACGTTGTACGATTTTATTCAACGTTCTCAACCCACCTTTCAAATTTTTCCTCCTTTTTGCCATATTTCAAATGTCGTGTAATCAGATGGGAAGTTAGTGTCCGAGTGGATCGGAGTCATGATAGATCACGTGGTAGAGCAGCGGCGTATCAAGCCGAAGATCGTGGGTTCGAATCCCGCTCTTGACACTGATTTTTTTATCTCAACCAACACCTTGCACAAAGATTAATTAATTGAAAGAAGTTATTTGATCAATCGGACCACGAAATTGATTACACGGCATTTAAAAAATGGCAAAAAGGAGGGAAAATTCGTTAGGTAGGTTGATATGGGAAGCTGGTGTCCGACTGGATCGAAGTCAAGATAGCTCAAGGGGTAGAGCAGCGGCGTTTTTAGCCGAAGGTCGCGGGTTCGAATCCCGCTCGTGACACTGACTTTTTATGTCAACCAATACCTTGAATAAAAAATGAACATAGTTCTACCCTACGCTCGACCAACTGGACTTTACTCTGTTTAGAAAATGAGAAATCTTCATGTTTACTATTATTAAATAAATCCGTCATTAAAAATTAGGATTAAAATTTGTTTGCTTACGGTTTGTCTTTTCTATTTTGTTTTATGTAAGAAGAGGGTTAGTTTAATTAAAATTAATAAAATAAGAATGAATTACAAACATACGTATTCATTTTGAAGCAGTTTATTTTTATATGCAAAAAGGTAATGTGCAAGAGAGTTACTTATGTTTTAGGTTAAGTGTATAAAATCTTATTAAAAAATTCATTCAATTTTAGGACAAAAAATTCTTAAGAGAAGATGAAAGTGATGTTTATTAGATTAATTATGTCTCGGTGAGAGTTGAATTTATTATAAACAAAATCCAACCCCTTTTCATTAAAAAACGAGCTGAATAAAGGAACTGCGGCCTTAAAAAAATGATGAACCCCATTCCCTTAAAGACTCGGTCAAGGGAGTTTGCGGTTTTGGTTGAGAGGAAGTCTGTATGTTTTATTCATGCCCCTCCCCCAGGTGCACAACATGATTCCCGGTCGAAGGTAGAAAGAATTTTTCCCGTTACCGCAGCGAAACTGAATAAGAAATAGTTTATTTTTTCAAGATCACCTTCCTAAATTTTACGTCATGTTAACGCAAGGGAATAAATCAAGTTTTGTGTGATTCCGCAATTGTTGGGACTATAAAAACCAAAATATGATAGAAATAATTCGTTTTTAAGACATGAAAAAAATTATTGTGTCTAATAAACAAAACTATGGCATTAAAACCTTTTATTTTGTTATTTTTCAAAATCCCTTAATTAAATCTTCCTTAAGAAAAAAACATAATATCTTATAATAAATTTTAATGAAAATTATAATAAAATACTAGGGAAAGTAAACACTACAAAATTGGCAATATCCCTATTCATTTTTGATCAATTTATATACGTTGTTTGTTTGTTTATGTGGCCTTTTAGTCATGATAATGACTATCATTTGATGGTATCTAACGTCATAACAAAATATTTCTTCCTCAAACTATCAAAAAAAAATTATAAATGATAAGTAACAATTATAAATGATAGTATATAATTATTTTGTTAAATTCTGATAATGGTGAACTTGCTTAGGCCAAACTACTAACTATGCTACTAACACTTTAAATATTTTTATTTATAATCGATTATATTTAGTGGTCTATTCACCAATTTAATTAATCTTTTTTATGTAAGTTTTGGTTGAAATGAAAAAGTCAGTGTCACGAGCGGGATTCGAACCCACGACCTTCGGCTCAATACGCCGCTGCTCTGAACTCTATCGCGACTCCTGCTCGTGATACTAGCTTTTTTATTTCAACCAAAACCTTACATAAAAAGATTCTTTCAATTAATTAATATTTTTATGTTAGGTATTGGTTGAAATGAAAAAGCTAGTATCACGTGCAGGAGTCGCGATAGCTCAAGTGGTCAGAGCAGCGGCGTTTTGAGTCGAAGGTCGTGGGGTCAAATCCTGCTTGTGAACCTAACTTTTTTCATTTCAACCAAAACCTTACATAAAAAGATTATTTCAATTAATTAATATTTTTATGTTAGGTATTGGTTGAAATGAAAAAGCTAGTATCACGTGCAGGAGTCGCGATAGCTCAAGTGGTCAGAGCAGCGGCGTTTTGAGTCGAAGGTCGTGGGGTCAAATCCTGCTTGTGAACCTAACTTTTTTCATTTCAACCAAAACCTTACATAAAAAGATTATTTCAATTAATTAATATTTTTATGTTAGGTATTGGTTGAAATGAAAAAGCTAGTATCACGTGCAGGAGTCGCGATAGCTCAAGTGGTCAGAGCAGCGGCGTTTTGAGTCGAAGGTCGTGGGGTCAAATCCTGCTTGTGAACCTAACTTTTTTCATTTCAACCAAAACCTTACATAAAAAGATTATTTCAATTAATTAATATTTTTATGTTAGGTATTGGTTGAAATGAAAAAGCTAGTATCACGAGCAGGAGTCGCGATAGCTCAAGTGNTATTTATTTAGAAATCGTGAGATGCGGTCTGGTGTAATGTAGGTTTCAGAAAAACGTGTGTGGTGATTAGTGACCGTTAATCGGTATTTATTTAGAAATCGTGAGATGCGGTCTGGTGTGATGTAGGTTTCAGAAAAACATTTTCTTTATCGTGCCAACGTTTCGATGTTTATTGAGATCATCTTCAGAGCCTGGGACACCGCACATTTAAGATAATAATAAGCCTGAAATTAAATGTGCACTGGCGGTCAAAAGTTTAGGATCACCTGTATATTTAAATCAAAATCACTTAAAACAGCGATTTCGTTTAATTTTAAATACATGGATATATAGAATAACCTGGATACTTGCATTTAAGGTCTGTTAATCAGATGTAAGAAAAACTATGAGAAAAATAAAGATTGTAATTAAGATGAATTTCACTTACACTGTCAATGACAACGTCCTAATATTCCTTAAGAATTAAGAAATGTGTTTGTTGTGTCTGGAATTTTGTTTACATTCCGGTCTATCTCACAATACGTTTCTGTCGCTAGTTTCTTTCCAGTGTGTTTCAGACCACAAAGTATGAAGATTTTAATTGTCTGATTAGTTTTTTATGTTTTCACTTAAAAACATGGGTAAAAAGAAGGAATTTTCTGTTGAATTTCGCTGTGCGATTTATACACTACGCGAAGTAAACAAGACTGAGCGCCAAAATTTGACTTCCTTTTATAGCCTGCGGACTACGTGCTATCTGACTTTTTACCAGTGCTAAAGCCGAATTATTGAAATGTGACAGGACCCGAGGTGTACACAGGAAAGCTTTCAGGAGAAAGTTCGACCATTGTTAACGAATCCGAGTTGCGCGCTTCTTTTTTTAATCCAATCCGCAAAAAAGCTACGTAAGTTCCAAAACAAATGCATTGCAACCAAAATTATTCATATTCTAGAAGAACCCTTTTTTTCATATTTTCAAAAGATACAGTGTAAATTTAATTTTTATTAGGGCGTTTTTGAAGCTTGGTCTCGAACTTTTCCGAGATGCGGATCCTTTACAAAAATGTCGAGTTCGAGGGGATAATGAAGTTAAGGACATAGCGAGGAGCTTTGACAATTTTTCTGATGACTTTTGATTGAAAGGATTGGATGCACTGGATATTGTTTGACTTGGAAGTAAGTCACAATTCTAAACTTTATGTCCAGAATGGTCACAGTGAAATATTGTGTAAAGTTGAGTTTGAACGATGAAAAAAGAACCTAAATCACCGTAGAAGTCTTCTATTAATTTTGGGACTACATGTCAAATTGTCTAGATATAATCCTAAGTCTTAAGTAACTTTACTGGAAGTTGGAAGCTCCTTTTTCCTGACGTGTAGTGAGTGGAAAACTATTTTTTTTCTTTTTTTTTTCAATATAAATGAAGGAAGGGTACATTTTTCCGCATTCATTTTTGTCTTCTACTTTTCGCACGAGTTTTTGAGAAATTCAAGATTTCATCATTCATTTCAGACTTCATCAAATTCAAAAGGAAGTTTCATATAATTTTTGATTGTCTATGCATTCGAATATAAACAAAATGAAATAAAATTTTTGTATCACTGAAAAGTAAATCAATATGTAAAAAATTAAAACATACATTCCAACGAAATGAAATCGTCACCAATATATACAAATTTAATTTGATCCTTACTAATCATCCTGGTTTGCCTATTTTCGCAATAGGTGATGTCCTATCAACCCTCTGATTCAAGATTTTTTTTTCTAAAGAAAAAAGTCCATTTGTAAAGTACTTTAGAATCGAATCAGGATGAGGATTCGAACCCATGATCCTTCGCAACACTTATGTACTGTGCTCATAGGCCTCCTTTGATATATTTAGTGAGATCGCTCCCAAAGCCAATGCCCCAACACCATTTTCGACCTTCGTCAGTATGGGCCGCTACATCGCACCCTCCGCGGCCCCACACTGTTTGGGCTTTACATCGGATCCCATGCCTACGCGCTCCCTTTAAATGCATGGCACTCGTGACTCAATTCATTTTTGTTTGCCATTGTTTTTATTGATGTTTTATTTTGATTGGTTCTTTTCATTAAGAACAATCCTGTCAAAAATCTACATTAAAAATGAATTTTTACTATTAATTGAACTATAGTTGAAGTATATACAGTTGTACTATTTTTTATTTTCCAAATTTTGAAAGATTTATTGATAGAGGTACAAATAGTAATATGATAAAAATGGATTATAAATAAGAAAAAAAACATAATTACAGAGAATAAAGTTTATTGATTTTGTACTTACCATGTTGCGCGTATGGGATCGTCGTCGGTTATGACCCTTATAATGTAAAGTAGGCATGACAGAAGTTTAAAAAATAGATTTGCTATGCGAATTCGTAAACCTGAAAAAAAAGAACAATGTTACTTACATTTACCGCAATAATAATTATTTATTTTACTACGCAGGTGTGTGGGTGTGCGTGCGAGGTCTGTTGTTTCTTAAAGGCAAAGTCGTTATAATTTAAATCAAGATTATTATTATTATGAATTCAATATCAACCGTAAGCTAGAGAGAACAATGAAAATTACTAGCCGGGACCACAGAAGTTGGGATCGGTACCGGCTTTTCCTCCCCCTGTGAATGAGAGGCACTTGTACGTCAAGTGCACGGTCAGAAGATGGGCTATTGACTCAGATAAAAGGGGTCATCACAGGACTCAGAATAGGTCACGCACGGTCAACCTGTCCCCTAGATACTTGAACGGTATTGTCTAAAATTAAACAGCGGACGGCAAGTTGTTCGGTTTCTACTTTTATATACTTTATAAATCTCGATATTTTTTAGTTTTTGATCTATATATGTATTATTTATGGGCCGACAAATATTCGGCCGGAAAAAGCGAAAATTCATCGTTGCTTTCGCGTTTTTTTGTCACCGAGTCTCTTATTTTGTCTCCTGTTTTCTTATATTGCTAACCCCTTGAAAGTAGGTAGCCAAATTGGTTTTTGATCTAAATTCATGTTTTGTTTATATTTATAGTAGAATTATTTGCCCCATGCACTTTACTTCTCTTTGCCAACAATCGAAAAATTAAAAAAGTACTTCTTGGATGATTGCAATGTCCATTTCAGTCTTTTGTCTAATGCTTTAGGCGCTTTTAATGAATTTAAGTAGGTTTTGCGTAAACTTTATTTTTATTTGTTTACGAAGGTTCGCAACAGCAGAGGTCATATCAACCCTCAGGGTGCTGGTGTTTTTGAAAAAACGCCCATTTGTAAGTATGTCGAGTTCGAATGCAGGGCCGTTGGATTCGAACCCGGGACCTTTACCTTACAGTGATGAGCGCCTGTTAACGCCTAAACCGTTGCGGCCTCCGACGCCCCCTGCGTAAACTTTATTTCTATAAAGTGTAGATTTTTTAAAAATTTGATTCAAATGTTTTCTCAATCTTACACAGACACAGCTACACACCTGTTAGATAATGCATACATATTATCACTCATTGTCACACACATTGTAGAACATATAAAATTAACCAATTCAATCAATAATTTAATGATGTTATTAGGAGAAATTATACTCACTTGATCTTTGGTTCTTTATAAAGTACAATTGCAGCCTCTCTTTGAACGTGTTCTCGTTAACATAGTACTCAACTCTCACTCTGAAACAGAAAAGTGGAAAACTCTCGTTAATATAATGGGAAACTTATGGTTGTTAATGGGAAATCATCAAAACTCGGGTCAATCTAACAAATCGCTTTCAAAACAACGCCCTCAATTTTCCTGAGTACCGAACATTTTAGAGTTACAATAAGAAAAATTCGATTTAGTCATTAAAACAATTATGGAATGTTAAAACTACATTAGTTATAGAAAGTTCGGATGAGGCTTTATTCAAGATCATTTGTAATTTAAAAAAGTTCCCTTAGTTGGTATAATTCCAGTAGACTACATGTTGTTTCACGAGTCTGCTGTCAGTAATTATTCCTATGGAGGTCATTATTGACCAATTGATCAACAGTGGATAGGTCAGTAAACAACCAGATCAGACATCCGATTAGCGTCATGAATTTAATCGTAAAACTTGTTTGAAAAATTTGTTTAGAAAACAAACATACTGCAAAAAACAAATCATTGGCGATTTCATATTTATTATTATTTTATAATACAGTCCAAACACAGAGGGCAGGTTGACGCTGGGGTAGGGAAATAGATCGACACCACCTTCCGGCCACGCTCTTCCGAGACGATGTTTCATTATTAGCCAGGTCGTGTACACTGCAGCAGCTTTAGTTGTGTTGTTAGAATTTAGATCGGAATTCGCCGTTTTTCGCCTCACCTTTACCGGTGTAAGACCTGTGTGCCGTGCGCTGTATGCAGGGTGTTCGGCTACTCGTGTTACAAACTTTGCCAGTAGATTCTACATTCAAAAAGTACTAATTAAATATGGTCCGAATCTCAGCAGTCTCGGAGTTAAACCAGAAACACACTTACCCGATGCTACGCCATGCGACGCTACCCGATGCTACCCGACGCAAATCCAAACTCCGATTTTCCATAAGGTTGCATTACCCCCGTGCACATCTACCCGATGCTACCCGACGCAAATCCAAACTCCGATTTTTCATAAAGTTGCATTACCCCCGTGCACATCTACCCGATGCTATGCCACGTAACCTACCGGACACTCTGCGATCCCCACTGTCCAGATTTTCGTCGGGTCGCATCGAGTACAGTCGAAGACAAAAGAACCGGACACTTACATTTTTATTCCAACTACATGTATTATTGTCGTTATATTAATTACAACATACTTATTTTAATATAGACCCAATTAACTGTGATTAAAAATTAATTACTTTTTATTTAAAAAATTAATTTTAATGGTTTGGTAGACAATTAATCAAAACACCGGAATACGATTTTTTGATATAATGAATTTAACTAACAATATATTGGCGTAATATACTAAAATTGGAACAATTTATTACACGGTTTTGCTCATAAAATTTAATTAACAAATTATTTCATAGTTTTGCTCGTAAAATTACACCATTTTGTAATGTCGGGTAGCATCAGAACAAGACACTCATATTTTTTGTAGTTTATTTCAAACTAAATACATGCAATTTTGTCGTTATATTAATTACAACATGTTATTTTAATGTAAACCATATTAAACGAGATCAAAACTTCATGAGTTTTTATAAAAATTATTTAATTAAATTATTTAAAACAATTAAGTTTAACAAACAATTTATTAGATGGTTGTGCTCATAAAATTTAACTAACAATTTATTACAAGGTTTTGCTCAAAATAGTGCATTAAGAACAAAAGATGCGTTGCGATTGTGATAGTGATTATTGTGATAAACGCTGTGGACTGTACGCGACGTGTACTTGCGTCGGATAGATGTGCACACCCAACCAAAACGGTAGCATCGGGTAGCGTCGCATGGCGTAGCATCGCGTAAGTGTGTTCCCGGCTTTATTCTATTTTTTCTTATTTATATTAAGATTTCACGACCTTTCTTCAAATAAACAATGATAACTTCAAAACTAAAACGTTTTGGACAATTCCGTTTTTACCATTGAAAAGTACGTTAAATTTCCAATAAGATGTGGTCAGTACAAAACTTGTAATCCTTCGTGAAATAAGCGTTTTAGTAGTGAGAACTTTGAAAAATAACTTTTTCTTTCAAAGTTGAAAAATTTACTATGGTAATTCTAAATTACTATTTCCAAACCTATAGACCAGCAAATTTCAGAAAACGTACTCCATTTAATATTCTTTTCAATGGTGCAATTGCTTTTTTAATTAATTACTTTTTCAAAGATGAAGAAATTAAAGAAAGAAAAGAAAAACCGCGGTTGAAGGATTGGTAAGGTTTTCCGCCTTAAAGATTAATAATAATAATAATAAATAAAGAAACTTAAGAAAATTTTGAATGAATTTATTAAACTTCTTTTTTTTTTAATTTTGATTCGAAATGCTCACTGTGACTACTGTGTGTGACTTCATGCTACCAATACGAGAGAAGGCATCGAGTCGAGTCACGTCGCGTCGCATTGAGTCTGGTAAGTGTGATTCCCGCTTTAAAACCTATATCCCTCCGAAAGGTAAGGATAGTGCTAACCCGATTGAGGATTGGCCACACCCGTCTGACACACTGACACCTGCTTTTTGGGTCAAAACCAACGCAGATTTTCCGTTTCTAGAGAGCGCCTTTATAGTGTCACATCTGATCGAACAGTGCCGTGACCTGGCCCCTTAGAGGGAGCGAGTAATTATATATATAATAGGGGTATTCACGATCTTTGTGGTAACCTGTTAACTCTGTTAGGTCGTGTTAGATTGAGAAAAATGATGACGTAGACTTGTAAGAATCGGCTGGTTAACATTGCTCGATCTAACAGGCCAGGGCCAATGTTAGCTGTCAGGTCGAAAATGATGTCTCATTGCCATCCGTTAGGGCGTATGTAACCAACATGGCAGCCATGAATTTAACAGCTGTTTTTTGTTTATAAGTATTTTTATTCTCAAATACGCAATAATTAAATCACACCAATATATTTGTTTTTCTAACCTGTATACTCTCACTCATAGTGGTATACATCCACCTATCCTATGAAGTACTAGCCAGTAGCCGTTAGGATGCAAGTTAAGTATGTTGGTAGGAATTAAAGCGTGTCATTTGTTAGTACTTTTCGAGTGTAATTTGTAAATAATTAAATTGAACAGATATAGAGTCTGTTATATATTGTTGAATATCTTGTTATTTCGCCACGAAAAGCTTTAGTGAAGATATACTTCATTTAACTCATTAAATTCACTAGTTTTCGTGGTCCACTTGACCAATTAATATTTTTCAATTAATTAAGGTTTTCAGTTGAGATAAAAAAGGCAGTGTCATGAGCGGGATTCGAACTCACGACCTGCAGCTAGATACGCCGCTACTCTACCACTTGAGCTATCGTGACTTCGATCCACTCGGACACTAACTTCCCATCTCAACCCCGAGGGTCGTGGGTTCGAATCCCGCTCGTGACACTGACTTTTTTATCTCGACTAAAAACCTTAATTATTTGAAAAATATTAATTGGTCAAGCGGACCACGAAAACTAGTGAACTTATGTGTTAACTTTCGCAAATAAAAACCTCAAGAAATACTTACTAAAGTCCTACTTGAATAAAAAACCTTTTTTATAATTAAAAATATTTTAACGACTAGACACTACACAAACGAAACAAATTTTCACCAATGCATTTTATAAAACAAAATCAAAAAATAATTTAAGCAAAACAAAAACAAAAATGAGAAGCTTAATAGTGTCTTAAATTGTAAAACGTTTGAATTAAATACTAATAATAAATTATTACATTTGTCTGGACGTCGGCATTCTAATGAAGAGAAAATAAATGTTCTTATCCTGTAAACACAAATAGAAACATAATGAAGATGTATTCACACTTGGCACTCATGGTATCACTCGAAAATTTCCAGACTTTTACCTAGCCGTGTAAAACACTATCTTATCTATTCACGTAGCTAATAACTAGATTGCTCTTTTAGAACAATGAAAATTTACGACTATTTTAATGGTCTTATGAACTCGCGTATTAGCCAGAGTACGAGCCCGTTGATTGTTTCATGACAGTAGGGGGAAGGGCAGCGCGAAAAAAGGGACGGGACGACTGTGAAGTCGAACTCATGACCAATGGGGTGATTTATTAAGCGTATAATCTATGATTATTTATGTTTTGTCTCGTTAGAAATTTAATCGCCGGATGGTTCTTTAAACGATCCGTTTATTTCTATTCTCAAGCTTAAAACAACACTAAAAGCAGTAGTCGTTTCGATGGTACTTCTCGGAGTAATCCATGTGGTTTTTGACACGATTTCACCTTACTCAAATCGAAAGCATTTCTCGTGAAGGTTGACAAACGTTTTACGTTCGTTGGCATTTTCCTTGAATTGAGATTTATCTAAGGGAAAGCCGGCTAATTTCGCCGCCCCCGGCGCGTGGATCTGGCGATAGGCGGAGTTGAAATTGATTGAGGGCTCGTAGGACAGAGAAACTTTGTCCTACCTCCAACCAGACACAATCCGATTACGATTTAATACGCCACAACCTTATTACCTCCGTTCAAAATGATCGGCCTGTTATTCAATCAGATAACAAATTAAAAATAAAAGAATAAACCTAAAAATATGAACGAGTTATATCTCTGATAAACTTTTCGTCTTGCCCTTTTTTTGTATTTATCTTTGATATTTGCTGATTTATGAATGACGAATGAATAATTCAGTTGGAATGAAGTCGGTTGATAAGTCCTCAATTTTTGTGACAGCTTCTGGACGGACGTCAATTTAAAGTTTCATACATCTTGCCGTATTAAAAGATTTGTAGAGATTGATAAATTTTAAATGCAATATCGTTGGTGGAACCGACAAACGCACATCCCACTTTAGGATCGGTAAAAGATTGTTTATAATAAAAGTATAGATGTAGTAACAACGAGAGCAGCCTAGGCAACTGGGGTGGTGGGGTTGGGGTCAGGAAGGGTATGGAAGATGCAAAACAGAAGTTGCTTAACAGCAAAAGCTAAGGTAAAAAAAAATGCAATATACCAAATTTTAGCTATACAGCGTATGATGAA